GCCCTCATTGGTTACCACTGTTATTAGTTTCTTATATATCCTTCCAGAGTTTTGAAAATATATATATTAGCAAGATGCATATATATGATTATTTTTCCTTTTCCCAAAGTAGCACACCAAGGTTCTGCTTCTGCTTTTTTAACCTGTAATATAGCTCAAAGACATTTCTACATCAGTAAAGAAAGCATTCTAATGTTTTTGAAGCAGGTTATAGCCCATTATGTAGATGTATCATGATTTCATCTTATTCCCCTTCTGATGGACATTTGGGTTGCTTACTCTTTTGCTCTTATAAACAATATTGCAACAAGTAACCTTACATGAATGCCATTTAGCACCTGTGTAAGTAAGTATATCTGTAAGATAAATTCCCAGAAGTGGAATTGCTGGGTCAAAAGAATAATTTTTCAGAGGATATATGTGAAGCAATAAGGGAGGCAGAATAATTCTTTTGGCCCAGCAATGGGGTAAAGAAAAGGTGTGATTATTTATTGCAGAAATGAATTGTTTCCTTTGACTCACAGCCTGTGTTTATGGGTAACTTCTGCTTATGTTTACCTCACTATGAACCCTGTCCTTCCTCAAGGTCTCTGGATGCATCCTTTCAGCTTTCAGTTACTGGGCTAATTTCTTTGTTGTTTTCCTTTTTAAATTTCCAACGGTAGTATCCTGAAAGATTGAGAGAGAACCAAACTAACCAAACTTCCTTTTCTACAATAGGCCAAATTATAGGTTAATGGCCAACAGGTGGGTTGATTACTCTTAGGCCAGGAACCTGTCCTGGTTCACTAAACTGTAGTGTGTGAATGGGTATGTTTGTGTGGGGTCATATTGGACAAAATATAACTGCTCAGGGCTTCCCTTGTCAAGGGCTGTGGGTAGGACTACTTTTCTCTGAATGGACAGTAGGCACAGTAGGAAAGTTCCATGAAAGCAGAGATCATGCTGGTGTCATTCACTGTTGTAACCTCAATCCTTTTCATGAGGTCTAACACACAAAAAAAGTGCTCAATTAATTTCTTTTGAAAAAAAGTATTAAGAAATCAATAGACTGGGCATGGTGGCTCACGCCTGTAATCCCAGCACTTTGGAAGGACAAGGTGGGCAGATTGCTTGAGGTTGGGAGTTCAAGACCAGCCTGGGCAACATGGTGAAACTCCATTTCTAAAAAAAAAAAAAAAAAAATTAGCTGGGCATGGTGGCATGCATCTTTAGTCTCAGCTACTGAGGAGGCTGAAGTGGGAGGCCTGGGAGGTTGCAGTAAGCTGAGATCATGCCACTGCACTCCAGCCTGGGCAAGAGCCAGACCCTGTCTCAAAAACAAACAAACAAAAAAAGAAAGAAAGAAAAGAAAAGAAATTAATATATCCAAGTACATCCATTAAGATTCTGTTTTCCAACCTAAAGGGGCCATCTGGCCAGGAGATGTAAATAACGCAGAATGGGCAGATATTTGTATGGTGAGATTTGAAGGCTACCAAGTTCCCGGACCCTCTACTTTATAACAGCTTCTTCCCTGGCTACCACAGAGGTTGAAATTCCACCATCATACTTACTTATTCCTTCAGGTTAGGAATAGCCCATAGCCCTTTGCCCACGGCATCTGTTCCTTTATAAGAAAGGAAATGACCACTTCCTTTCTTCTGGTAACATCAATTTGACCTTCCTTCAGGCAACTACCTCCACTGCTCTCTAGTGCCTACCTTTCAGGTGGGGTTGACTCCAGACCAGGTTCCAGAGGTGGGAATATAACCCAGACCCTATCAGCTTACTCTAATCCCTGGTCACAGTGGTTGGTCCAAGGATGGGCTTGCATCTCAAATCCTTCTAATGAGACCCAACTTAGGAACTTTGCTGGAGCTGATAAGAAAGAAGTACTCTTTCACTGGAGTTGCTGGACTGATAGGAAGAAAGCTGCTGGTGTCTCTCTTGCCACTTGGAGTGAAATGAATCCTGATGGCATTATTTGAGCATCTGTACCTAGCCATGCCTGAAAGCACATTTGGACTTCTCAGGTTGTAAACCAATACCTTTTGTTTGCTCAAGTGAGATTGTTAGATTTCTGTCACCCTCATGGAAAAGAAGCCAGATAGGCTTCTCCCTCTGCATTGCTCTCTACCTGCAGCCCAGGAGTAAACCCATTGACCTCTTTTCAACTATTAGTGTGGAAGAGGGCAGTTATTGAAATTTTTTTTTTTTAAATGTAAGACAAGGTCTCACTTTGTCACCCAGGATGGAGTGCAGTGGCACAATCATGGCTCCCTGTAGCCTTGACCTCCTGGGCTCAAGCAATCCTTCCACCTCAGCCTCTTGAGTAGCTGGGACTACAGGCATACACCACCAAACCCAGCTAATTTTTTAATTTTTAGTAGTGATGGGGTCTCACGATGTTACCCAGGCTGCTCCCAAACTCCTGAATGCAAGCAATCTTTCTGCTTCAGCCTCCCGGAGTCCTGGGATTACAGACAACAGCCACCATGCATGGCCTGAATAGGAATTTCAATGAGCAAAAGTATGTGATAAGACAGAAGTACTGTCAGGATGAGTTAACAGGTAGAGACTGTGGGCCTGGGTGGAAAATCCCTAGCAGGGAACCTACAGCAAGAGAATGCTGAAGAAGTAAAGATAATAAAAAGGGAAGATGAGAAGGCAATAGACCAACCTACTTTATTTCATCACTAAACCAGAGATCCAAAGGCTCTGCCCTGAGCCCCTGGATTACACAGGAAGTTTCAGAATTGCAGAACTGTCAAATGTGAGCTTTGGGAGAAATCTCAGAGAGCATTCAAGCCACGCCTGCATTTTATAGAGGAGGAAATGGAAGGGGAGAAACTTGCCCATTATCCCACAGCTACTCTGTGGAGGCAGACGTAAAATTATTAGAATAGGGCCAGGTGTGGTGGCTCACACCTGTAACACCAGTACTTTGGGAGGCCAAGGTGGGTGGATCACCTGAGTTCAGGAGTTCAAGACCAGCCTGGCCAACATGGTAAAACCCCATCTCTACTAAAAATACAAAAATTAGCTGGACGTGGTGGCAGGTGCCTGTAATCCCAGCTACTCAGGAGGCTGAGGCAGGAGAATCGCTTGAACCCGGGAGGCGGAGGTTGCAGTGAGCCAAGATCTCACCCACGCACTCTAGTCTGGGTGATGAGAGTGAAACTCCATCTCAAAAAAAAAAAAAAAAAAAAAAAATTTAGAATCCATGCAGCTGACAAATATGATTCTGGAGCCATACAGGCCCGGATTGGAATCCTAGACTTACCATTAACAGCCAGTTGTCCTTAGGTTTTCCTTAACTTCTCTGAATCTGTTTCATCTTCAGTAGAATGGGGATAATCATAGTATCTAAACTCTGAAGGTTATTGAAAAAATTTAAAAAGATTCTTCATGAGGCCAGGCGTAGTGGCTCACATCTGTAATCCCAACACTTTTGGGAGACCAAGGCGAGTGGATCATCTGAGGTCAGGAATTTGAGACCAGCCTGGCCAACATAGTGAAACCCCATCTCTACTAAAAATACAAAAATTAGCCGGGCATGGTGACATGCACCTGTAATCCCGGCTACTCAGGAGGCTGAGATGGGAGAATCACTTGAACCTGGGAGGCAGAGGTTGCAGTGAGCCGAGATCACACCACTGCACTCCAGCTTGGGTGACAGAGCAAGACTCCGTCTCAAAAAAGAAAAAAAAATTTCATGCGAAGGGTTTAGCTTAGTGCATGGCAATAACTGCCAGGCCTAGAGACAACGTAGAGACTAAGAACTCACCCCCTAGAAAAGTTGCCTCTGATGGAAGGTTTGAGGGAACTGTCAGAGCACACCCTTTTTTTGAAGCACAGAGTTTCAGGGTCCTGGTTAAAGGAGGAAGACAGTGGAAGGAAGGGGACACATTCTACTGGGATGCGGGATCAGGGGAAAAGGTAAGCAAGGAAAACAAGCACATGAAGGGGAAAAACCCTGTACTGGGGTGGGAGGGTGGATGGAATGAGCGCGACATTCTGGATAAACTGTCATCCCTGATATAAACTAAGAGATGGACAGAGGGATGGACACACTCTGGGGACCATGGCAGGAGGCAGGGGCGACTTGCCAAGAAGCAAGGAGAAAGTGGAATGTGTTGTTTCTGAGTATAGCATGTCTGTGTCCATCACCCCAACCTCTCCCGGGCTTCACTGGCAGCCCAGTGTGGTTCAGGACTGTAAGATGTCTTGCAGCCAGCCATTCTGGGGAGCAGGTTCTGAAATCATAGCCCCACACCCCTTCCTTGTCCTTCCCTCCCTTGGGCTGCCTCAACCTAAACAAGACAACCTGAGCAGGGGGGCCACATGCTGATGGAAAAATACACACTTGGCTGGAAAAGGAGCTTTATTTGTATGTGTTGAATTCCCGCAGCAGCCGAAGGATAAATAGCTAGTTCCAGCCTCAGCTGAGTCTGCCCACAAAGTGGGTGGTAAAATCTGTTCTTATTTAGATAGCTTTTGGGGAGAGGTGGAGAGGGGGGTTGGGGGCAGCAGGAGAGGGGAACTTGGAATCTGCAATGTTTATATGATCAGTCATGGATGTCATCTCTCTTTAATTAGGGGTTTGGAATTGAGAAACAGCTCAGCTTGCTTATCCTAGGAACAGAGCAGACTGGCAAGTTGGCAGTGGGCAGGGCAGCTCCTTAAGACCCACCTATGGGCCGGGCGCGGTGGCTCAAGCCTGTAATCCCAGCACTTTGGGAGGCCGAGACGGGCGGATCACGAGGTCAGGAGATCGAGAGACGATCCCGGCTAACACGGTGAAACCCCGTCTCTACTAAAAAATACAAAAAAAAAATAGCCAGGCGAGGTGGCGGGCGCCTGTAGTCCCAGCTACTCGGGAGGCTGAGGCAGGAGAATGGCGTAAACCCGGGAGGCGGAGCTTGCAGTGAGCTGAGATCCGGCTACTGCACTCCAGCCTGGGTGACAGAGCAAGACTCCGTCTCAAAAAAAAAAAAAAAAAAAAAAAAAAAGACCCACCTATGGTTGGTCTCCATCCCCCAGTGCCCTTGCTAAGCACTCAATAAATGTCAGCACCATGCCAGTCCCTGTACTGGCTGCTTTACATGCATTATCTCATTCAATCCTCACAACAACCTCATGAGTCTTAAGCAGCAGCATCATCATCATCCCTTTTGCAGAGGCAAAACCTGAAAAAATAGGACTGAGTAGAAAGCTAAGGTCACACAACTTGTAAGCAGCACTGCCAGAGCTGAAACTGGGTCTCCTTGACTTAAGTCCATGCTTTTAGCCTTTTCCCATCCTTCCCTGAGCTGGGAGTAGGGAGCTGGGCTTTTAAATCCTCAGGCAAGTCACTTCTGTTCTCTAGTCCAGTCCTCGGTACTTCAGGCAGAGAAATAGTTGGATGACTTCTAATAGCTTTTGGCTCTGGTGTTTCCTGTGATTAGAGAGAAAAGTTCCTTGTAGCCACTATATCCCCAGCGCTTAGAGTGAGACAATATACACATTAGAAAATGAACACATTTCCAGATAAGTACAAGTGCTATAAAGAAAATTAATTAGGGTAATAGGTTATGGACCAGAGAGTACCTGAGGATCTAGGGCTCCTTTAGATGGGATAGAAAACGACTTTCTGATGCAGCTACATTCAAGCTGAGACTATCCTGGGGAATGTAGGAGGCAGAGAAAATAGCATATGTGAAATCCCTGAGGTAGGAATGAGCTAGGTGTGTTCAAGACATTGAAAGGACTGTGTGGATGGAGGAATGTAAGGTATAAGGGGTTTGAGGGTATGCAATGAGGATGGACAGATAAGGCAAGCAGGGGTCAGATCATGCGGGGTCTTATGGGTCAGGGAAGGAGACTAGGCTTTTAATTGCAAGATGAAGCCACTTGGAGGAATGAAGCCACATCCAACTTACATTGTCAAAAGATTATTCTTGCTGCTGTGAAGAGCATGGAGTGTCAAAGGTCAAGAATGGGGGCAAGGAAACAAGATAGAAGGTTATGGCTAAAGTGCAGGTGAGAGATGATGGCAGCTGAACTAGTGTTGTAAGTAGCGGTAGGGAAAAGTAGCTGGTAGAGCTGACCAGACATGGTGATAGAAGTGTAAGGGGTTTTGTCCTACAGGAGGTGCTCTTTTCCTACAACTACTCCCTAAGTCCATCTCTCACTTCTTATCTGGGTTTAGCCCAGAGCAATCAGCACATGGCATTTCCCTGGCAACAGTGATTGCTTTCAGGGCGGTCCACAGGGACTTTTGTTTCATGGAAAGTAGAGCCTCCTGGCCTGGCTGGATAGAAAGTACACAACCCCAACTGCTGCTGATAGTCATCCTAGGAGGGGAAGAAACTTAGGGAACAAACAGCCTAAGAGAAAGCTGATACTATGGATGGCAGATGGAAAGAGACCAAGATCTTGATGATAATGTTGAGCCTTTGAATTCACCAACCCAGATGTTCACTTTAGCCCTGGACTTTCTATTTAGTAAGGCGATGAACTTCTTTCATTATCGCCAGTGTGAGTTGAATTTCACTCACAACTGTAAGTATCCTAATTGATATACTAATGGTATCTAGGAACTCCAAACCTGACTTAAGTATGCATAAGCATAGGAAACAAGCCTGGAATAGAATTAATTCCTGGGCTTTAAAAAAAGACCAGTAACTGATTTTGAAAAGTGGGTTCAAAAATACTGTAGACGTTAGAAATTTATATTTTTAGCTTCTGCCATGACCTGTCATTAATGGATTATATAAATTCATACTTCTTTTCTTTGCATGAGTCCAACCACCACATAAGCAGTATGGCAGGCTGCTGCTCAGTAAAGAGTACAAGGTAATTCATAGGTAGAAGAATGAAAGATGCCTATTCAGAGATGCATTCTACATGCATGGTGCCTAGCCTAGGTAAAAAATCATCATTGCTACACTGTGATATGGACAAGGGCATTATAGTCTTCAGTCATCTGCCTAGGCAAGTCCAGTATCTATAATACATTCCTCAAGGCCGGGCATGGTGGCTCATGCCTGTAATCCCAGCACTTTGGGAGGCCAAGGCGGGTGGATCATGAGGTCAGGAGTTTGAGACCAGCCTGGCCAACATGGTGAAACCCCATCTCTACTAAAAATGCAAAAATTAGCTGTGTGTGGTGGTGCGCGTCTGTATTCCCAGCTACTCAGGAGGAGAGGCAGGAGAATCGCTTGAACCTGGGAGGCGGAGGTTGCAGTGAGCGGAGATCGCGTCATTGCACTCCAGCCTGGGAGACAGAGCGAGGCTCCGTCTCAAAAAAAAAAAAAACATTCCTCAAAGTCTTAGCTTGGCCTGGGTGATCTCCTCCTATTTCAGCTGATTTCTGCTCAAATCTGTTATCTCTGTCATTTAAATAGAATTATAAAGATAAGTCAAGTGTATTACAAAATCATGAGTAGGGAATTCAAGTTTGACACCAAATTGTCCAGAGTGGTACTTGCCATAAAATGATGCTGGAGAGAGGAAATCCCTACTTACATTTTTATGAGTATTTGGTTAATCTCACATCCAATTTTCTCACCATTTCATTCTCAAACACTAGCATAATACCTGGCACATAGTAGGTGTTCAGTAAGTATTTGTTGAACAAATGAAAGTTTTATCACAGAATTCTGGTCAGCTATGTAAATCACAAAAAGTGAAAGCTGCAAAAAAATAAATTTGCAAAAGGATCTATTATCTTCTTACCACATTATTTTAAGACCTCAGAAAAGCTATCATCCCTGAAAGCGTAAGGGTAATTGAATTGTTTCTACAGCTATTTTACATCTGTGTCAAACATTCAGAGTCCCTAGCGGTGCTGGGAAGTTGGCAAACTAAAGGACAACAATTCCAAATATTTTAACGTTCTGATTATATACCTCTCTGGCCAGTTTACTCCCAGACACACATTCAGGATAAACACATACTCAACAATAAATGACTATTTATTTTTCAGGTTTAAAAGATTTCAAAATACATATGTACAAGATAAATAAACTACACAAAAATTATGTCATCAAATATATTTTTTAAAAAAATTCAAGGTAGGCAACTTAGATCACCTTCGCAAAGAACACATTAACTAAGATGAACCAGGACAAGTCCCCTAAATATCAGGATGAAATTTCTTTTCTACGCCTACTAGCTTACTGGCCTTCCTTTTCTGTGTTGAGTTGTGTACTTTGGAGTCGCCAGCCTCTGGTATATTATCAAGCATCTCTTCCTCATCAACCTAAAAGGGAGGAGACAGGGTGAAATACAGTAAGGTTCACACAAATGCCAGGATGGAGAAAAATGAAGCTCTGTAATATTATTTCCATGTACTTCTTTGCTGCAAGATTTATATACAGCATTGTGCATACGATATTCTCTCAAAAACATCTTTCTCAATTTTTTTAAATTTTTATTTCTTTTTACAAGTAACACAACTGCTATTTAACTCAATCTGAAAGATGGTATAACTCAGCAAGAACTATCATGTGTTAACTTCCATGTTCCTGTAATTTGCATTTTGCTAAATGAGGAAATTCTATCAACCTGAAGTTTTTCCTTCAACCTTCTTCCACGAATGGTCCCATAAGTTTCCCCCTATCTCTGCAACTAGTCCCTGCAAATATAGATTCTTCTCAGTGTTAAAAGGACAACTTAGAAAAAAAGAATCTGAGACACCACCCCGCTATCCTTGCTATCTGTAATATAAAAAAAAAATTAACCAGATGCTGCCTGCCCTCTAGTGTTGCCAATAGATGACAACTGTTATGAAACATCTACTGTTGGTTGAGCTATTAGGCTATTTTGCTGAATGATTATTTAGAAGGTTGCAATAGGAGAAAAAGATCAGGCATTCTAGAGTTCAGTACAAATTTGGCAAATCTAAAAAACATTATTTATACATATATACTTTATACGATATATACTTAATTAACTAACAATAGTAGCAAACATCATACCTTTTGTTTCTGTCTTGCATGCTTCTCTGTCCACTGTCTGGCATTCTTGAGGAAGACTGGCTTATTATATTTAAATTCTGAGGACTGAGATGAAATCAAAGAGTTAATGGAGAAAAAAATGATTTGCAGTGGTCAGTTAGAGCTGCTGCAGCTATCCTCACACAGGGAGAGTTAGCAGTATAGACAAGGTAGGATATACGTTGCAGAGGAAAATGGGGATATTTACTATGTCAGCCATGAGCGGGTCATCAGGGTTGGGTTCTGACATGAGCAGCTGAATAGAGGTCAACACAGTTGCGATGTTGAGGGATGGTCTCCAAGCACCCTATACACAAACAGATAAACAGTTGCTTTTATATTATAATGTGACACTCTAATTCAAGTTTAATAGATGAAGAAAACAGAATGCTGTAGAGTCAACCATTTACCCACAACTCACTTTTGGTGGCAATTTGAGAACATCCAGACAAATCCTTCCAGCAGAATCAATGTTTGGATGATAAATTGGAGTGAGAAATCGGATCTGAGGAGGTTCAAATGGGTACCTATGAAAGAATAAGACAACAGGTAATTTTCATTATATAATTTTGCTTCTAAATACATTTAAAATAGTTTCTTGGTCATAATAATGTTAGTATTATAGAAATGTCAGGGAGCCAGCCTTTGGGAGGAAAACTTTCTTTCCTCCTAAATTTTCATTATGAAAATTTACAATAAATCAGTTTGAAATAACAGTACTGAAAACACCTGTATATCTACCACCTGAATTCAAGCCACTTTACCTTTTAAATACTAGAGCATATCTTCTAAGAATAAGAACATTCTCCCATATAAATGCAATACTATTACCCCTATGAAAAATTTAAGAACTAATTCCCTAATATCATTTACTGTTCAGATTTCAATTGTTCTCCTTTTGTTTTTTATAGCTGGATTTTTCAAAACAGTACTCAATTACAATTTATACATTGCATTTGGTTATTATGTATCTTTTGTGAGACACAGACCTTGCAAAGTTCCCAGTCTATTTTTAGAACTGATGCACCACATGATTATTAAGCTATTCTCTCAAGACTTTAACAAGTTTGGCCAGGATCTGACCTAGTGATTACATACCTATGTTTCAACTGTTATACAGTCATTTCTTCCCTTCTCAGTTCTGTACAAAACTACAACTGTAACTTACCTGATGAGAGCCTTAAAGGAGACTTGAATTAAAAGGGGCCTTAACCATAAAAAACAATGAGATCATGGTCTTTGCAGGAACAGAAAGCCAAATACCACATGCTCTCATTTATAAGTGGGAGCTAAATGATAAGAACATATGGACACAAAGAGGGGAACAACAGACACTGGGGCCTACCTGAGGGTGGAGGGTGGGAGGACAGAGAAGGGCAAAACTACTGGACACTAGGCTTAGTACCTGGGTGACGAAATAATCTGTACAACAAATCCCCGTGACATCATGAGTTTACCTATATAACAAACTTGCACATGTACCCCGGAACCTAAAATAAATGTTAAAGAAAAAGTGAGCCGGGCGTGGTGGCTCACGCCTGTAATCCCAGCACTTTGGGAGGCCGAGGCGGGCGGATCACAAGGTCAGGAGATCGAGACCACGGTGAAACCCCGTTTCTACTAAAAATACAAAAAATTAGCCGGGCGCGGTGGCGGGCGCCTGTAGTCCCAGCTACTCAGGAGGCTGAGGCAGGAGAATGGCGTGAACCCGGGAGGCGGAGCTTGCAGTGAGCCGAGATTGCGCCACTGCACTCCAGCCTGGGCGACAGAGCGAGACTCTGTCTCAAAAAAAAAAAAAAAAAAAAAAAGAAAAAGTGAGGAGGAGCTTAATATTAAGAAAGCACAGTAGTGGTTACCAGGGGTTGAGAGCAGGGAGAAATGGGGAGTTAGAGTTTAATGGCTATGAAGTTTCAGTTCGGGAGGATGAAAAGTTCTGGAGATAGATGTTGGTGATGGTTGCACAACTATGTGAATGTATTTAATACCACTGAACTGTACACTTAAAACTGGTCAACATTATGTTATGTATATTTTACCACAATTGAAAAAGTGAGGGGGTCTTTGATGTGATCTGGCCCATTATTCTGGAGAAGGAAACTGAACTCCAGAGAGATAAAATAACTTGGTCAAGGTCACATTAAGTCATGATAAGGCCAGGATTAAAACCTAGTCCTTTATGCTCTATCTACTACATTGCTCTGTCTCCCAATAAATGCACTTTACTATGTAGGTTGAGAAGCTGATTCATACTAACCTCTCAGGAATGATAACTTCTAGCTTAAAAACACCTTTCTCATAAGGTGTGTTGGCTCCACCTAATATTTCTTAAAAGAAAAAAGAAAGAAAGAAAAAGTTAAAAGGGAATCAGATCATTTGAATTACCACCATATGGAGCTAATGAGGTCTATGTTCCTAATAGAGAAACTAGGCCTAGGACAATAATTCTCTCTCAGGACTTTAACAAGTCCTCATGCAACACACCACAATGCTAATGTACTCAAAAAGTTAATGGTGTCAAAGGACATATAGAAAATCTAAAGCAGAAGTTGCAAAATGCTGGCCACAAGACCAAATACAACCTACAGATTTGTTTTGTGTGGACTGCAGTATTCTAATCATGTATGTTTCCCATCTGGCTTCACAGATATTTGAGATGGTTATCTTTGATCTAAACACTGCTTCACTGCTTTAAATCTTGGCTATAAATCAGCAGAAGGTATAATAAAAAGTCAAAGAAGCAAGAAATGTCAAGCAAACCTTTTATAAATGTAAACAAATTAGGGTAGAAAGATGGTAGGGCACTCTGACCTTATAACTGTTCCTTACTTCAGAAGAATATACAAAATAGTTTATTTCAGCACAATCTTCAATAGGGTCATGACTTCCATCATATACATGATTTGATACCTACGAGCTCGCAGATCATCCATTTGGTCTTTATCTTGCCAACATGTGATGCCTGGGGGTGGCTCTGTGGCTAACATGTGCAGCTCTCTCTTCAGACGTGAAGCTCTCTGCATGATCCTCAAGTAGAAGGAACCACACACAGTTCACTGCTCCACACTAAGAGCTGGCTGGGATGCACTGGAGGAGAAAAGAGGCAACCATAAAATCGTCAGCAATAATGACTATGAAGTTTTCAGCAAACAGTTTCAATGTAGTGAGGGCGGGGGACAGAGTCCTCTTTTTTGTGACACAGTTTCACTCTGTCACCCAGGCTGGAGGGCAGTGACACCACCTCAGCTCACTGCAACTTCCACCTTCTGGGTTTGAGCAATTCTCGTGCCTCAGCTTCCAGAGTAGCTGGGATTACAGGCGTGCGCCACCATGCCCAGCTAATTTTTGTATTTTTAGTAGAGACAGGGTTTCGCCATGTTGGCCAGGCTGGTCTCAAATGCCTTGACCTCAGGTGATCCGCCTGCCTTGGCCTCCCAAAGTGCTGGGATTACAGGCATGAGTCAATGCACCTGGTTTTTTTTTTTTTTGGAGGCAGGGTCTTGCTCTGTCAACCAGGCTGGAGTGCAGTGGCACAATCTCAGCTCACTGCAACCTCCACCTGCTGGGCTCAAGCGATCCTCCCATCTCAGCCGCCTACGTAGCTGGAAGTACAGGTGTGTGCCACCACACCAGGCCAAGATTCCTCTTATTAATCTCTATTCTGACAAGGGAATCTGAGTTTTTTCCATTCCCTTCTGGTGAACGTTTATCTACTCAAGCAAATATGTTTTTAAAATAAAGAATTAAAAATGTTGGCTGGGCGTGGTGGCTCATGCCTGTAATCCCGGCACTTTGGGAGACCAAGGCGGGCGGATCATGAGGTCAGGAGATCAAGACCATTCTGGCTAACATGGTGAAACCCCGTCTCTATAAAAATACAAAAAAATTAGCCAGGCATGGTGGCGGGTGTCTGTAGTCCCAGCTACTTGGGAGGCTGAGGCAGGAGAATGGCGTGAACCTGGGAGGCGGAGGTTGCAGTGAGCCGAGATTGAGCCACTGCACTCCAGCCTGGGCTATAGAGCAAGACTTCGTCTCAAAAAAAAAAAAAAAAAGAAAAGAAAAGACAAAGAATTAAAAATGCAAAAAGTTCTACAAAAAATAAAAACACTAAAGGTTTTAAATAATGGGTGTTTCCACTGATAAATAATAAACTCATGAGGCCAAGCCTGGGTCTGATTTTGCTTACTATTGTAGCCTTAACATGCCTGACATAGTAAGGGACTTGACAAATATTAGCTGTTGTGAGGAAGTCTACATATGCTTTGTGAGAGCAAGAATGGTAAAGACAGTCAACATTCTCGGGCACAAACAAATGTTAAATGTCCAAGGTTCTCTCCATGTATTATGGATTCCACCTTCTCTCAATCTTCAGGGATACCAGTCCATCAATTATTCCATCTTTCTCACTCTCAATATTCAAATATGCTCAAAATCTCTCTCACCTAAAACCAACACCCACACATTCACCCAACACTCTTCTCAACTCTAGTTCTCCCTCTAACTATTAACCAAGCAAAGGACACCAATCTTTTTTTTTTTTTTTTTTGAGAAGGAGTCTCGCTCTGTTGCCCAGGCTGGAGTGCAGTGGTGCAATCTCAGCTCACTGCAACCTCCGCCTCCTGCGTTCAAGCAATTCTCTGCCTTAGCCTCCTGAGCAGCTGGGATTACAGGTGCCCGCCATCACACCTGGCTAATTTTTGTATTTTTAGTAGAGATAGGGTTTCACCATCTTGGCCAGGCTGGTCTTGAACTCCTGACCTCGTAATCCACCCACCTCGGCCTCCCAAAGTGCTGGGATTACAGATGTGAGCCACCGTGCCCAGCTGACACCAATCCTTTAATATGTGTTACAAATATCCCCCAGTTTGTGCTTATCTTTCCATGTTGTAAATGGTATCTTTCAATGAACACATACTCTTTATTTAATTTTTTTTGAGACAGAGTCTCACTCTGTCGCCCAGGCTGGAGTGCAGTGGCCGGATCTCGGCTCACTGCAAGCTCCACCTCCTGGGTTCAAGCCATTCTCCTGCCTCAGCCTCCCGAGTAGCTGGGACTACAGGCGCCCGCCACCTCGCCTGGCTAGTTTTTTGTATTTTTTAGTAGAGACAGGGTTTCACCGGGTTAGCCAGGATGGTCTCGATCTCCTGACCTCGTGATCCGCCCGTCTCGGCCTCCCAAAGTGCTGGGATTACAGGCTTGAGCCACCACGCCCGGCCGAACACATACTCTTAACATAATCAATCTTAAAATCTCTTCCTTTACATTTATACTTTGTGTATTAAATTTTTCCTTACCCCCAAATGTAGGGATATTCCTACATAGTCTTCAAATATTTTATAATTTTGCTTTTCAAATTTAAATATTGAATTCACTAGGAATTGAATTTTATGCATAGTGAGTGAGGGGGGGCCCAATTTAAAGTTTTTCCTCATATGAATAGTCAATTGTTCTAACACCATTTACTGAATGTCCATCCTTTTCCTGCTGATATTACTATAAATTAAATTTCTATATGTGTGGATTTGTTTTGGGACTCTTGAATTTGTTCTATCGGTCAAGTGGATTATTTCTGAGACAATACTCCACTGTTTGATTTACTATAGCTTATTCATTTATTATTATTTAATTTTTTCCCCAGCTTTACTGAGGTATATAACTGGCAAATACAAATTGTATATATTTAAGGTGTACAATGTGATGTTTTACTGTAGCTTATCCACTTTTTATTCAGGAATGACTTATTCTTGACTCTTTGCTCTTCCACATAGATTTGACAATCTGTTCATAAGTCCATAAATATATACATAAATATGTATATATGAAATTACAATCCAAATCATAACAGGGTTCTATGATTTGGATTGTAATTTTATTGATGCTATAGATCAATTTGGAGATAACTGATATCTTTATGATACTGAATCCTAAGATCCATGAGCACGCTGTTTGTCTTTTTTTGATGCTTTCCAAAGGTTTTATAATTTTCTCTACAAAGCTTTACCTAACTTTTGTCAGACTGATTTCTAAGTACTTTATATTTTTGCTATCTTTTCAAAAACACTACTTACTACCCATTTCTTACTGATACATGTAAATCTAATTGATTTTTAAATTTTTTTGAGATGGAGTTTCACTCCTGTTGCCCAGGCTGGAGTGCAATGGTGTGCTCTTGGCTCACCACAGCCTGCACCTCCCCGGTTCAAGCGATTCTCCTGCCTCAACCTCCTGAGTAGCTGGGATTACAGGCATGTGCCACCAGGCCTGGCTAATATTGTATTTTTTTAGTAAAGACAGGGTTTCTCCATGTTGGTGAGGCTGGTCTCGAACTCTCAAACTCAGGTGATCCACCCGCCTCAGCCTCTCAAACTGCTGGGATTACAGGCGTGAACCACCTCGCCCAGTCAATCTAATTGATTTTTAACCAAAGCCTTAGTAATGGTAATGATGAATCTATTTGGGGTGGGGAGCAGTCTGGGAATGGTAATTCCACACTGACAATCATGTCATCCACATATAATCAGTTTATTTCTTCCTTTCTAATTCTTTTCCTGCCTTCTATTCTGGCAGTAACTTCCAGTACAATGTTGAAAACAAAAGCTGATAGCTAGGCCAGACATGCTGGCATAATCCCAGCTACTCAGGAGGCTGAGGTGGGAGGATGACCTGAGCCTGGAGAGATGGAGGCTGCAGTGAGCCATGATTGTGCCACTGCACTCCAGCCTGGTGGCAGAGTGAGACTGTCTCAACAACAGCAAAAAAAAAAAAAAGAAAGAAAAGCTGATAGTTGGCATTCTTGTCAGATTTCTAACCTTAAAGGGAAAACTTTTAACACTATGCTAATCAATAAGACTGGCCTATAACTGTCCTTTCTAATTTTGTCTTTATTAGGTATCAAGGTTATTGTAGCCTCCTAAAATGAGTTAGGGAGCATTGCCTCCTTTTTTTTTTTTAATATATATTGTGGATTAGTCCAAGAGATAATTTGTTACTAGGTTGTCTGGAATAACTCTATCTGGTCCTGGTGTTTTCATTTTGAGAAAATGTTAAACTACAAATCCAATTTATTTAAATATTATTCAAGTTATTTATTCTTGCATCAATTTGGCAAGTTAAATTTTTCCACAAATTTATCTATTACATGCAACTTTACATGTATTTGTGTAATGCCTTATCTTTTTAATCTTTGTAGTTATCTATAGTTATGTTTCCATTTTCATTTCTAACACGGTTTATCTGTGCCATCTTTTCTTTGATCAGTCTTGCTGGGCATGTATCAACCATAAGGAAGTTCAAGTTTTGGTTCCACTGGAAAGAATAAAAATTTATGACAGAAATAGAAAATGAGAAAAAATACTTTTTTCTTAAAAATAAAGATTTTTTGCTGAAAGCGTTTTGTACTTCGAGATCACGCCACTGCACCCTATCCTGGACGATAGATTAGGACTCTGTCTCAAAAAACAAAAAAGCAAAAAAACAAAAAAACAAAACTCGTCCAAACATGTACTATACATTTTTTCTTGTCATTATTCCCTAAACAATACAGTGTAACAACAATTTACTTAGCATTTTATTAGGTATTATAAGTAATCAAGAAATAATTCAAAGTGTATGGGGGCGAGGCTGGACATGGTGGCTCACACCTGTAATTGCAGCAATTTGGGAGACCAAGGCAGAAGGATCACTTGAGGCCAGGGGTTCAAGACCAGCCTGTGCAACAAAGGAGAACCCCATCTCTAAAATAAATAAAGTATATGGGAGGACATGCAGAGGTTCAAGACCAGCCTGTGCGTCCTGGTGCAGTGGCTCATGCCTGCAATCCCAGCACTTTGGGAGGCCAAGGCAGGTGGATCACTTGAGGTCAGGAGTTCGAGACCAGCCTGGCCAACATAGGGAAATACCCTCTCTACTAAAAATACAAAAATCAGCCAGCTGCGGTGGTGGGTGCCTGTAATCCCAGCTATTCAGGAGGCTGAGGCAGGAGAAAGGCTTGAACTCGGGAGGTGGAGGTTGCAGTGAGCTGAGATTGCGCCACTGCACTCCAACCTGGGCAACAAAGCAAGACACTGTCTCAAAAACAAAACAAAACTGGACAGGCATGGTGGCTCACACCTGTAATCCCAGCACTTTGGGAGGCCAAGGTGGGTGGGTGACTTGAGGTCAGGAGTTTGAGACCAGCCTGGCCAACATGAGGAAACCCTGTCTCTATTAAAAATACAAAAATTAGCAGGGTGTGGTGGTGCATGCCCGTAATCCCAGCTACTTGGGAGGCTGAGGCAGGAGAATAGCTTCAACCCAGAAGGCGGAGGTTGCAGTGAGCCAAGATCGTGCCACCGCACTCCAGCCTGGGTGGCAGAGCGAGACTCTTTCTGGGAAAAAAAACCAAAAAAACAAAAAAACAAAAAAAACCAGTCTGTGCAACAAAGGAGATCCCCATCTCTTAAAGTATATGGGAGGACATGCATAGGTTACATGCAAATACTACACCATTTTATATCTGGGACTTGACCTTTGGTGGATTTGGGATCCGCAGGATGTCCTGGAACCATCCCTCATGGATACTGAGGGCTGACTGTACATTAAAATATCACAAGTATAAAGTGTACCTTTATATAAAACGAGAACAGTGGAAAGCCATGGTAAAAGGATTAGAACAAGCAAGGCAATTTCTCCCAAGGAATCAATCAGACTCCAGCCTCACTATATTAACCAAAATTGGCATATGCCATTCTGTGGCTTAAATGCCACGAATAACTGCCTATTTTTCAAGGTATAAAGGTTCTTTACAATCTAACCCTTATATTCCGCCTTATATCCAGTATCTACTTTCCACAAACTTGTGCTTCAGCCACACTGCCCTATTCCTGCTGCTCATAAAAGTATTATTCTTTCACACCTTTAGATAAGTACATATTAAATCACAACTCATTCTCCAGTAATGCATCCCCACCCCTCACACCTTTTCAACGTCACCCTCTGTGAGTCCACATCTATTTGCATCGTGTTCTAATTCATCTGATAGTTTCTTCTCCTTAGGGGGAATTCCTTGACGGCAGGTCCCTAGTCTTTTTTTTTTTGTATCAAGTCTGCAGTAAATTTGGGTAATTAATGAACGAAACGTGGGTTTGGACCAGATGCTGAAGAAGGCAAAAGAACAGCCAGTGCACAACCCGCAGCAAGTACTGGGCTGTTACGTCCTTTCTAGTGGCAAATTTCTCCCCGCCGTGGCAGGAGGACGGCTAGGGGGAGCTCTGACCACGATTTCATGCAAAGATACTGTGAGACCCTCCGCTCAACGGTGGCTTTTCTGAGGCTCTCCTTTCAGAGGAGACGAAAACTCCCATGTTGGGCGGACACAGGACTCCTTCCCCACAAGACTCAGTGACCTCCTCCGGTGTACGTTCTTTCAGATCGGGAACCGGAATACTCTCCTTACTTACCTGCGCGGACACCCCTCACAACGCGGCAACCGGCGGACCAACTTGGTACCAGCGCCTGCGCGACCTCGGACGGTTGGCGTAGCTCCGCCCCCTGTCTGGAGAAGATTGTGATTGGCCCACAGTAACCCCCGGGAAAGAAGCGCAGCCACCGCTCCTCTCTATTGGCCAGCGCTCTGAACGCTCACGCATTCAAATGAGAGCGCGCACCGCGCGCAGCCATTCAGCGTCTTACCCGCTGCGCTCAACCCTGAGAAGACATCCGGGGGTCCACGTTCGGTTACGAAGTCGGCTCTGTCAGACCAAGGAAGGAGCTGGAAATCGTTTCTTAGCAAGAAAAATGAAAGGAACCAGAAATATTTAATCTGGAAAAGAGAATACGTGATAGCTGTCTTCCTTTAAGTATTTTTCACATGGGAGATTTTACTACTTCAGAGGACACATTTAAGGACAACGGATGAAAGTCTAAGAGATGCAGAACTTAGCTAAATAAAGCATTCTATCAATTAGAACTCTGAAGAACAAAATAGGTAAACGTAGGGGGTAGTGAATTCCTTCATCACTGGAAATGTTCAAGTGGAAGTTAGGTTATCACTTGTCAGGGATAGTGCAGAAAGGATCCTTGTACTGGGTGGCAGTTTGGAATAGATGACTTTTTTTTTTTTTTTTTTTTTTTTTGAGACAAAGTCTTGCTCTGTCACCCAGGCTGGAGTGCAATGGAGCAATCTCAGCTCACTGCAACCTCTGCCTCCCGGGTTCAAGCGATTCTCCTGCCTCAGCCTCCGGAGTAGCTGGGATTACAGCCACCCGCCACCACGCCCAGCTAATTTTTGTATTTTTAGTAGAGACGGGGTTTCACCGTGTTGGCCAGGCTGGTCTTGAACTCCTGACCTCAGGTGATCCACCCGCCTCAGCCTCCCAAAGTTCTGGGATTACAGGCGTGAGCCACTGTGCCCAGCTGGAATAGATGACTTTTAAACCGTCTTCCAACGCTAGATGCATGGTACTGAACAAGGAAGAAACTGTTTATGGTTAAGCCAACCTTAACTTCTCAGAGCTGCCTCTGCAAGAGGCCAATGCTTCATGAGCGCTGAAAGATGGCACAGACCTGACTTAACCTAAAGGATGTGGCTGGAACTTGACTAGCCTTTGGGAATGCTGTGGGTGGAAAAACAAACGAACAAAAAGCCAACCCTCATCTGACTGCTCTCAGCTCACTATGTAGCTTTGGAATAATGATGATAATACTAATAGTAATTTATTATTATTACTATTATACTGTTTATTACTATTATTGGTAACGGAGTAATAATCAGTCTCTTTTTAAACTTGGAAGTAAGTATAATTTTGGCCACAGCAGTGATGTCTACATCTAGTCGAAACTGGGGTTAAGTGGCAAGTAGTTCCCCATAACCATTGTGTGGTGTGTTTTCTCTCAAGAGCCCCACATGTTCACTAGGACTCTGTGATGCTCCCCTGGGGTTCCTCACCTTAGTTGCAGGAATAAGCCAACTACAGTAGTTTATTAATTGTAAAGTTCTGAAACAAACAAGGAATCCCATTCTTGTCCAGTCTAATTCCAGTTCGCTGTTGGGGTTTTGCATTTATTGTTAGCATTTACTCAGCATTTAGTGAAGTGTTTTCTGTCATAATTGAGTTCCTGCTTATTTTACTACTGTTTTCTGTTTTAATCCTTTCAATACCTGTTTTTATTTTCTTCCTGCCCCAACTGTAATTGTATCTCAATTACAGTTCTGTCGTCAGAACTGAACTTGATTACTTCCTTGGGTGTTTCTCTGAGAAATAGATCTTTAAAATGTCTCTTAGAAAAAGCAAGAACTGGCCGGGCGCGGTGGCTCAAGCCTGTAATCCCAGCACTTTGGGAGGCCGAGACGGGCGGATCACGAGGTCAGGAGATCCGAGATCATCCTGGCTATCACGGTGAAACCCTGTCTCTACTAAAAAAAATACAAAAAACTAGCCGGGCATGGTGGCGGGCGCCTGTAGTCCCAGCTACTCCGGAGGCTGAGGCCGGAGAATGGCGTGGACTGGGGAGGCGGAGCTTGCAGTGAGCTGAGATTCGGCCACTGCACTCCAGCCTGGGCGACAGAGCGAGACTCCATCTCAGAAAAAAAAAAAAAGAAAAAGCAAGAACTGTATTGAGTCTGGTGGAAAAGAGAGATGGTTTGATAAAACAAGTAAGTCCCTATAATTTTGGCAACAGAGAGGAAAGAGAAAAGGATAGAAGAAAAAAGAGGAAGGAAGAAAAGTAGGTAGAGAGGGAGGAAGAAAACAAAGAGAAAGAAAAAAAAAAAAAAAAGAGAGAAAGAACCCCATACACTAAATGTACCGTTTCCATTTGTCCACCAGAGGGGGGTATGTTAACTGGTGGGAATAAAGGCCAGGCTAAAAGATTTTCATAAACTTTTTACAGGTGTTATGGTTTGTTAAAATGGAGCATTCTAATGTTATAATTTATTTTTAAAGTGTAGCTATGAAAACTATTATTTTATAAAGGTTTCTTCACTTTAACAACACATCACAGCAGGCTTGCTTAAGTACTTGTAAAAGTATAAAATTGTATTTTATTTTTAAACAGTATTACTTGTCAGGATTTATTCACTAGTATATGAAAATATATCCTTTTTTATTTTTTATTTTTATTTCTTTTTATTTTTTATTTTATTTTTTTTTTTGAGACGGAGTCTCGTTCTGTCGCCCAGGCTGGAGTGTAGTGGCGCAATCTCAGCTCACTGCAAGCTCCGCCTCCTGGGTCCACGCCATTGTCCTGCCTCAGCCTCCCGAGTAGCTGGGACTACAGTCACCCACCACCTTGCCCAGCTAATTTTTTGTATTTTTAGTAGAGATGGGGTTTCACCGTGTTAGCCAGGATGGTCTCGATCTCCTGACCTTGTGATCCGCCCGCCTCGGCCTCCCAAAGTGCTGGGATTACAGGCGTGAGTCACTGCTCCTGGCCTATTTTTTATTTTTTTGAGACCTCGGTGGGCAGATCGCTTGAGCCCAGGAGTTTGAGACCAGCCTGGGTAACATGGCAAAACCCCATCTCTACCAAAAAATGCAAAACTTACCCAGGCATGGTGGTGCATGCCTGTAGTCCCAGCTACTTGGGAGGCCGAGGTAAGAGGATTGCTTGAGCCCAGGAGGTTGAGGCTGCAGTGAGCTGTGATTGCACCACTGCAAATCCAGAATGAGACCCTGTCTCAAAAATAAAAAATAAATAATAAAAGAATGGAGTACTTATTTAGGAAATTTAAATTACCATACTTGTTTAATGAGCTGATTGTGTAAGTTATTCTCAGAAAGCCCTGGTTGGGAAAGATGTTTTAGAAAAAATAGGATTTTGATGTGAAAATCTTTTTAAGTCATTATAGGTAGATGAATGTTTTCATGGCATCTTTTTTGGCCGAGCCTGTAAAATTAATTAGATTATAATAATTATTACTACTTTCAATAATCATACAGCCAGAAGCTATATTTCTTTCTCTCCAAGTAGGTATGCACTTAAACTATCCAAGGAATTTAGCTACTTACACTTTTCTGTAAAATCTCCAAAGAAGGTATTACATACTTACTTCCACAGGAAAAAAAAAAAAAAGAAAAGAAGCAAATAAAATAGGTATGGTAAGGAAGTACTTCTGGCTTCCTGGAACTTCCTTATATTGAGACTGAATTCTTGGCCTGGCGTGGTGGCTCATGCCTGTAATCCCAACACTTTGGTAGGCCAAGGCAGGTGGATCACAAGGTCAAGAGCTTGGCCAATATGGTGAAGCCCTGTCTCTACTAAAAATACAAAAATTAGGCATGGTGGTGAGCGCCTATAGTCCCAGCTTCTCAAGGAGAATCGCTTGAACCCGGGAGGTAGAGGTTGCAGTGAGCTGAGATCGTGCCATTGCACTCCAGCCTGGAGACTCCGTTTAAAAAAAAAGAAAAAGAAAAAGAGACTGAATTCTTGTTGAAATTTAAGCTCAGGCTGGGCATGGTGGCTCACACCTAAAATCTCAGTACTTTGGGAGGCTGAGGTGGGAAGACTGCTTGAGGCCAGGAGTTCAAGACCAGCCTGGGCAAAATAGCGAGACCCGTATCTGCTTAAAAATAAAATAACATAATTTTATTTTATGTGCCTATAGTCCCAGATACTCAGGAGGTAGGAGGAGAATTGCTTGAGCTCAGGAGTTCGAGCCTGCAGTGAGTTATGTTGGTACCAATTGTCTCCAAAAAAGAAAGAAATTTTAGTTCCTATCTCTTGGGAAAGTAAGGATTTAACCTGGAGTGGGTCAATTTTAGCTTATTTAAACAACTGGAACTAGATATTTTTTGCCTCCTAATTCTGAATACAAAAAGAATGCAGCCAAAAGAATCATCATTATTGATCCCTGAAAAATGTACTCCAGTTCAAAAATCCTTATTAGAAGACCAGTATGCCAGTAAAACATAAAGTTATATATATATAGGAGCAGCTATCATATACCAGGAACATGATACTGAAATGATGCATGAGGACTGTGAATAGGATTAGGCTTCTAGCTGAGTATTCCTACCTATTTGATTTAATACCAATTTTTCTTTTATCCTTTACTGAGAGTTCTATTTGGGTGCTTAAGGGCAATACAAATTATCAGCAAGAGGCTGAATTGGAATAAGAGGAGGTCCCACTGTGATATGTTACAAAGTAAATCTCATGAATAATTTTTTTTTTTTTTTGAGACAGTCTTGCTCTGTCACCCAGGCTGGAGTACAGTGGTGTAATCTTGGCTCACTGCAACCTCCGTCTCCCAGGTTCAAGCGATTTTCCTGCCTCAGCCTCCTGAGTAGTTGGGATTACAGGCACCTGCCACTATACCCAGCTACTTTTTGTATTTTTAGTAGAGATGGGGTTAGCCAAGCTGGTCTCGAACTCCTGACCTTAAGTGATCTGCCCGCCTTGGCCTTCCAAAGTGCTGGGATTACAAGCGTGAGCCATCACGTCTGGCCAAAAATTTTTAATTGCAATAAATGATGAGACATGACAAGTTCTATCATGGCCATAAATAAATGTATGTAGCAAGGAAAATGAGGTTACATAATGTATACATTATTATACCTTGATTTTCCTTATGTACATTGTTATTCATAGTTCACAGATTTGACATAAGGTTTAATTAGTATTTATAATGTATTTAAGAATACCCTACTAAAGCATATGGTGGGTAGACACAGTATTATTAAACATAATAATTTTTACATTTATATGTCACTTTTCATTTAAGGTTTTCAATTCAATAACTAATTGTTTCCTTAATGTATGATTTCCACTTCATTTCAGGGGGAATTTAGGAACAGGCAAATTTTCACATGACAGAATATAATAAAGTTTCCCTTTACAATACCCTGATCATTTTGCAACATTTTTAAATGAAAAATTTTAAACATACAGAAATGTTTAAAGAATCTAATATTTGCATATGTACTCCTTCATTATGGGTAACACATTTAATTATATTTTGTTCAGGGCTAGAGCACTGGAGGTTATAATTATTAAATCAATCGGACTGGCCGGATGTGGTGGCTCATGCCTGTAATACTAACACTTTGGGAGACTGAGGTGGGTGGATCACTTGAGCCCAGGAGCTCAAGACTAGCCTGGGCAACATGGCAAAACCCTGTCTCTACAAAAAATACAAAAGTTAGCCAGGCATAGTGACGCAGGCCTGTAGTCCCAGCTACTTGCGGAGCTGAGGTGGGAGGATTGCTTGAGCCTGGGAGGTTGAGGCTACACTGATCCATGACCATGCCATAGGTGACAGAGTGAGACCCTGTCTCAAACAAAACAAAACAAAACAATCAGACAGATATACGTTTTTTAACCTAGTCTTGGGGAACATAAGAATGTCCTATTTGCTACCTTAGGAATTTAGTATGATTTAGTATGCTTGATAGTATCTTTCTCTAGCTTTGAAAAAAAAAATCATGGGCCAGGTACAGTGGCTCAGGGCTGTAATCCCAACACTTTGGGAAGCTGAGGCAGGAGATCGCTTGTGTCTAGGAGTTCCAGACAAGCCTGGGCAACATGGTGAGACCTTGTCTCTATAAAAAAATTAAAAAAATAGCGGGTGTGGTGGTGGGCACCTGTAGTCCTAGCTACTTGGGAGGCTGAGGTGGGAGAATCACTTGAGCCCAGGAGGTTGAGTCTGCAGTGAGCCGTGATCGTGCCACTGCACTCAGCCTGGGTGACAGAGTGAGACTCTGTGTCAAAAGAAAAGAAATAAAAATCACGGAAGACATCTATTCTGTCTTGTAAAAATTTAAGATATATGAAAAGAGTAGAGGAGGAGGAGGAGGGAGAAGGAAGAGAAATTATTTATTGGGATGCAATATGTGCCAAAGATAGTATTAGGCATCCTTGCATGTATTATTTTATCTGATCCACACGACTACCCTGTGAGATATTATTCCCATTTTTCACATAAGAAAACTGGCTCAGAGAAGTCAAGTAATTTGTCTACGGCTGTGAATTCAATTTAAATTCACAGCTTAAACTCTTCTCACTACATCTGAATGCATCATTTTCAAGATCTTTTCTGGGCCTGGAGTAAGTTGACAGTATTTATGTAAAACATGTAATACTGCTCCTCCTCCCCACGCACATTCACATTTACTGTGATTAATACACATGTTAATAAAACCCTAGACTTAGAACTAGGATATAGAATCCAGTCGTTTAGGTACTTAATGTTTAGTTCTCCCCTCCAGAAAATAGGAATAATTACCGCGTCTCTTCCACTCCAAAGAATTGATGTGATAATTAGGGAGCTAAGATTAGTTACCAGTCATAACAAGAATAAACTACGACTCCCAAAATGCCCAGAGGAAGAGGTTGACGCCAGTCCAGGAGACAGTTCCAGCTTTAGGGCAAAGGTGACCTCACTGGGTCCCGTGGCGAAAGAGCCGTCTGTCCTCGACTTTTTTCTGATGCATCCAGGGATTTGTAGTTCCCTTACGGCCACCAAGTGCACTTAGGGCAGGCCTCTTACTACGAGTCCCGTGATGATCCGAGGCCGGGCAGCGGCTGCGTATTGAAGCCGAGGGAACGTGCGGGCGGTGCTAGTGGCGAGAGGAGTAAAGATGGCGGCGCGAGGGTCTCCGCCCTCTGCTCCCGGCTGAAGCGCTCTGAGGGAGGCGGCAGCGGCAACCCGAGCCCCAACAGTAATTTAGTGTTGGTAGTTTTGGCAGCAGCTGCCGAGGCCGGAGCAATGGCGGAGCTGGAGCACCTAGGAGGGAAGCGGGCAGAGTCGGCGCGAATGCGGCGGGCAGAGCAGCTTCGGCGCTGGCGGGGCTCGCTGACAGAGCAGGAGCCCGCGGAGCGACGAGGCGCGGGGCGGCAGCCGCTGACCAGGCGCGGGAGCCCCAGGGTCCGCTTCGAGGACGGTGCTGTCTTCCTGGCCGCCTGCTCTAGCGGGGACACCGACGAGGTGAGAAAGCTTCTGGCAAGAGGTGCTGATATCAACACAGTCAACGTGGACGGCTTGACAGCCCTGCACCAGGTAACTCCTTCACGGTCTTAGAGGCGTCCAGTCTCCTACAGATGTGTCTTTGACCCTGCGAGCCGCCCCATGGGGAGTATCAGTGTTGCCGCCGAGTCCTTCTGCATGGACACTGCCTTTTTGGGCTAATCGGTTTCATTCTTGGCCAGCTTCCTCCACTAATCAAGTCTTTTTCTGACCCCAGGATCTCTCTACCTGAAGGAATAGTGTCACCCCGCTGCTTGGTCAGTGTTTGTGTTTCCCTCCACCTACTTGTGTTGTCATGGTTACTGGTGATTTTTGTCCCTGGTCGTATCCCTATAGATTAGTTATCTTCACTTATGTCTGGTTGGCGTGCCTGCATGCCGTGTCACAGTGTCATTTGTCTGATGCCCTTTCAGAAAATTCAGTTGTTGTGTGTCTCCATTATAGAATATCTTAGATCACTTAAAGAGTAGAGCCCTATACTGGGTAAAGACAAGCAGGTCTGAAACCACACCTCTTGTTTTGTTGATTTGTAGTACTTAAAAACAGTTTGTGTCGCCTCTAGGCTATAGCTCCTAGAACACCCCGGACCTCGTTGTTATAGGTATCTTAACTTTCTTCTCAGCAATGCTACCTCCCCGAGAGCTTCCTGTGGAGAACTAAGTTACTGAATTACTTCTGTCTGTTTGATACTTATGGAATACCTTTTCTATTTTTCTATTTTTTTTTTTTTCTAAAGCGCTCTATAGAAATCCCATGCCCTATACGTAGCTATACTATATGGATTGTGGATAATCTGTGCTTGGTAACGACACCTTATAGTTCATCACCTAATGCAGCAATATTCTCTATCTACTGACTGCCATGACTAACTACACCCTCTCGCCTCAAATCAGTTATTTTGGTGAGCTGAGAGCCGGACACCCACTCTTAATCTTTTGTCTTTTTCTTCTTCTGCCGTCTGTGCAAAGTGAATGTGTTGGCATGAGAATCCACTTCTAAATAATAACTCAACTTTATGTCAGACCACTTCCCTAAATATATTTAGTCAATAGCTTAAAGTTACTTCTATGTTTGCAACCCTTCTCTTTCAGGTAGAAGAAACTTTTTCACCCTAATTTTTTCTAAACTAATTCACCCATTTTTTTTTTCCTGCTCGTAATATTTCCCCATCTGTGGTAGTAACCAATATTTGCAGAGTGCTTTGCTGTTTGATTTCATATGTCTTACCCCATGTGAGTTTCAGCAGTGATCCTTTGAAGTAGGTGTGGCAGGTACTGTTGTTATTCTCATTTTACAGATGAGGAAACTGAAGCTCAGGAAAATTACTTGTGCAAAGTTAGAAAGTAAAGAAGTGACCCATAGGCATGGATTTTTCAGATTTACATCCCAGAGATCTATATCCCACTTAATAAGGAGCTGAATGTAAAATGAGATAAAAGCTAAGAGAACCACATTAAATTTTAAACTTTACATTTCTGAACTATTTGGGAAGGTGAATTCTTGTTTTTCTTTTTTTTTTTTGAGATGGAGTCTCACTCTGTTGCCCAGGCTGGAGTGCAATGGTGAGATCTTGGCTCACTGCAACCTCCGCCTCCTGGGTTCAAGTGATTCTCCTGCCTCAGCCTCCCAAGTAGCTGAGATTACAGGTGCCTGCCACCACGCCTAGATAATATTTGTATTTTTAGTAGAGATGGGGTTTCACCATGATGGCCAGGCTGGTCTCGAACTCCTAACCTCAGGAGATCCACCTGCCTTGGCCTCCCAAACTACTGGGATTATAGGTGTGAGCCACTGTGCTCAGCTTAGTAATCTATTGAAATAAGAGAAGAAGGGGATGACAGCTATTAATTTTTTTAACATCTATAAATGCAATGTAAGCGTTCCTTTCAATTTGTAGGGCTGACAAGGAGTTAAATTGAATAGGTATACTCAATTCTAGACAAATTCAGGTAAAAATTAAGCTGCTTAAAGATTTGAGGTCTTCTGTTGAGAAATTATATCTTTGAATCCAGACAACGGGCCTTTATTGGCTTCAGAACATTGCAAGTCAGTTTCCAAAGAGTTACAATATGTTTTTCCATGACTTGGAGAAGTTTTGTTGTTGTTATTGTTTTTTAAAAAAATAAAACAAAACAGAGTCTCACTCTGTCTCCCAGGCTGGAGTACAGTGGTGCAGTCTCGGCTCACTGCAACCTCCACCTCCCAAGTTCAAGCTATTCTCATGCCTCAGCCTCCCAAGTAGCTGGAACTATAGGTGCCCACCACCATGCCCGGCTAATTTTTGTATTTTTAGTAGAGATGGGATTTCACCATGTTGACCAGGCTGGTCTCAAACTCCTGGCCTCGAATGATCTGTCCGCCTCGGCCTCCCAAAGTGCTGGGATTACAGGCATGAGCCACCATGCATGGTCGACCTAGAGAACTCCTAAGGTATGTAAAAGACTATTTTCAAAAGTGAGACTGGAGCTATCTGTAGCTGAACCACCTACTTTACAACAGATTCACCTTCTGTGAAATGCAGAGTGAGTGGTATAATTATATGAATTAATTATTTAAAATGTCCATCTGTTATATAAGCATGATATAAATTATCTGGATAATTGCTTCTTTTCTCTCTTTTGACCATGGCCACTTGACCAACTGTGGATTATTGTCTTGGCATGTTAGTAGCCCCCAGATAGTACTGGGGGACAGTTTTTCTCTGCCTACAATGTCACAGTAGATGATTTGCACTGCAGCTTGTGGTGCCTTGATGCTTCTTTTGGACTTAGAGACCTTCTTTCCTGGCAGACTTTGCTGAGACCACGAGGTGCTTGAGTCAAAGATAACAAGCTCCAGGGGGCCTATTAATAATACTTGAATTAGACTGGGATAAGAAGTATCTCAAAGGTTAGACCAACTCTGATGAAAGCCTTGGAAACTGATGCAGACTAAATTTCAGTGACTATATTAAGATTTGATGTGTATGCATGTGTTGTCCTAGAGTCCTTAATGAACAAGGTACTAATCTGATTATAGAACCCTTGAAAGCACTTGTTTGCTCACAAAGGAATTTCTGTTTCATTTGCATATACACATTGTAAGGCCAGGAATATTTGTTAATAATTCTATGTGGTCTAGTACTTTAAATTTTTTCTTTTATTTATTGAATAAGTTTGACTGTTAGCACCTATCTTGGTATCCTTAGCATTATAATCTTAGGTACTCTAGGCCTAGATACATGCCCTTAAAAACTGTATCTACCAAATTATTGCTGTTGGAAGAGGCAAGTACCTGCTTTCAGAAAAGAGATTTTTCTAGGATTCATTAAAATGAATGCTTACTTACTTCAGCATGTATTACATTGACTCTTAAATCTGTGCTGAGTGTGGTGAGGGATACTGGATGCCAATCACCATAGGTCTTGTCTCTTAGCACAGTCTGATCAGTTTTCCTTGGATGAATATCAAGGAGACTATCAAGGATATTAGAATAATTCCATACTTGACTCAGAAACTCAGATGGGCGGCCCGGGGCAGTGGCTCACGCTTGTAATCCCAGCACTTTGGGAGGCCAAGGCAGGTGGATCACAAGGTCAGGAGTTCGAGACCAGCCTGGCCAACATTGCAAAATCTTGTCTCTACTAAAAATACAAAAATTAGCCTGGTGTGGTGGCGCACAACTGTAGTCCCAGCTACTCAGGGAGGCTGAAGGCAGGAGAATCGCTTGAACCCGGGACGTGGAGGTTGCAGTGAGCCAAGATCACACCACTGCACTCCAGCCTGGGCAACAGAGTGAGACTCCGTTTAAAAAAAAAAAGAAAAAGAAAAAAGAAATTCGGACTGTCTTTGTGAAGTGCAGGGTCCAAATTTGGACCCTCATGGGCACCCCAGACTGGAATTGAATTTGTAGTTGAATAAGCCTTTGTCATTCTAGAGTTGCCTCAGTCTGACGCTGTAGCCTCAGGGAGGCTAAAATCACGTATTTCTCGTGAAAAGAGATGGAGATAGGAACAAGTGAGGGGAGGAGGATAGGCTGAGCAATTTACATTCAGACAGAGACAGAAGATGAGCAAGATGACTGTGTGTTCAGTTCCATATAAAATAGTATATTTTGCGTGCTAACTTATATGGTAAAATAAAACTTGTGCTTTTAACCTTTTCTCTTTTATTCTAAATATATTACTCATTCCTCTCCTAGTTCCACCTTTGAAGTTACTTTTTCCTTACCCTGAATGTTGATGAATTCTGCTTAGTGTCAGGACCCATGGCAACATAGGATTCAGAAAATCCTGTTTGCTCCTTTATTACTGTTCATCTAGAATAGTCATCTGTCCTGAACCATTTTAGTAGCTTACCTCTTCAAATGGCTTAATATGTTGCATCAGACTATGTTGGACCTCAAAGCCATATTGGGAAACTCAGCTTTGTGTGTGTGTGTTTTTGTTTTTGAAAGTGTAGATAAAAATGACTTTCATTTGTTTCACAGAATTTCTTCCCTATTCAGGCCGGGCGCGGTGGCTCAAGCCTGTAATCCCAGCACTTTGGGAGGCCGAGACGGGCGGATCACAAGGTCAGGAGATCCTGACCATCCTGGCTAACATGGTGAAACCCCGTCTGTACTAAAAATACAAAAAAACTAGCCGGGCGAGGTGGCGGGCGCCTGTAGTCCCAGCTACTCGGGAGGCTGAGGGAGGAAAATGGCGTAAACCTGGGAGGCGGAGCTTGCAGTGAGCTGAGATCCGGCCACTGCACTCCAGCCTGGGCGACAGAGCGAGACTCCGTCTCAAAAAAAAAAAAAAAAAAGAATTTCTTCCCTATTCTTCTTCTTCTTCTTCTTTTTTTTTTTTTTTTTTTTTTTTGGTGACAGGATCTTGCTCTGTTACCCAGACTGGAGTGTGGTGGTGTGACCATGGATCACTGCAGCTGCAACCTCTCAGACTCAAGTGATCCTCCTACCTCAGCCTCCCTAGTAACTGGGACTGCAGGCACACCCCATCATACCCAGCTAATTTTTAAAATTTTTTGTAGACAAGAGGGTCTCACTATGTTGCC